CACGAGTGACACAGCTTGAAAGAGTGGAATTGTACTAAAGAATAAAGAAGACTTTGAATGTTTTTACTTTTGTGGCCAAATACAAATAAGATTGAGGTACAAATTTCATTTCCACCACTTATGTGGTTTAATTTATCTGAGCTTTGACTTCCTCATATGTAAAATGGGGACAGTGTTACATGGGGCCTCACAGGGCTGACTTGAGGAGTAGAGGAGAAAAGGGAAGTAAAACCCTTAGCTCTGCACCTGGGACTGTGTTCAGTGTCCTGTTAATAGTCCTTTGTCTTAGGGTTGACCTTCCACAAACCACTGCCCTTAAAGGATACTTCTTCCATTGATTTTTTTAAACAACAGGAGCTCTTTTAAAGATTTGTAATTGTTTCAAGATAGCTTTAAAGCCATTAACAGTATTCCAATGAATAAAATATTAATTTCCTTTAAGGAAAAATGTGCTTTGAAATGTGTAGAGAGGAAACTTGGGGAGAGCAACACCTTGTCCATTTATTTCAAACTCCAAATTTGTAAAGAGCTAAAAGCTTTATTTAGGATCCTAGGAGTTGTGATCTGGGAAACACAGATTTGAGCATAACCAAAAGAGTGTTCTAGGAAGTTGAGCAGAAGAGTTTGCTTTTATAGACAGAGAAGGGCTGAAGAAAGCAGAAACACAGCACAACAAGTAGATTTGTCATTTCAATCCTTGTAAGCTCGGAGGCTCATTACTCTGACTCAGGGAGATCTAAATTTCCTGTTCTCAGTAAAGCTGGTCTTTTCTTCTTTTTTCTTTTTGAGAGATTTTTGCTATAGGGCATATGTGCTCGCTGGAGAGACAGATAAAAAGTGAAAAATCACCCTCCCCATAGGGGGATGGCAATCCCTTTCTCCTCCATTCTCCTCTTGGGATCTTGGGCACACATATACACCCACTCTTCATGAGGTTTATTTAAGCCACCAGGTCTGGGACTTGAACCGTGGTTGACTGTGGGAATCCAGCAATGTAACCATTACGCCATCCGCTGATCCCAAGATGGTCTGTTTTGGAATCTATCTGCTTCCTTAAAGTTGTGATTTGCTCATGTGGCATCTTTAGCGTGAATGATTCCATTTTGATTTGGTCTGTTGGGGCCTAGAGTAGGAGCTTAGTCTGAAACTATGGCCTCCTATAATTTTTATTTGATGGCTTTTGATGCCAGCCCATCCAGGTTTTATTCTGGCTGCTGTCAGTATCCATGGGACCTTGTGCAAAGCACCTAAGTGTTCCTTGGCTCATCTGTGAAATGGGAGGATAGAACACCTGCTTTGGAGTGGTTCGGAGAGGTGAGACCACTAAGCCTTGGCCCAAAGTTTGCTGTGTCAACCTAAGAAGGAAGGCTCTGGCACAGAAAGTAAACCGGAAATAGTTTATTTGAGCCAAAAGCTTAGGAATCATCCTAAACCAATTCCTGCCTGGAAAAGTGCACATCCAGTTGACTGCCAAGCGGGCTTGTTTATATAACGAGGAGAGCAAGAAGGGGGACATTATGAGCCATCAAGGGTTCACATTGACCCGCTTAGAATAACGCAGGCAGCTGATTGGCTCTACATTATTTTTTACATCATGCATTCTGGAAGCATTGCTGTGAAGAAAGGGTGGGGGCTACACTGTAGACCTGTAACTTCCCTATAAATTAAAACATGCCTTCTAGGAGGTAACCCAGGCTTCAGCTCATGCTTTTGGGAATTTAAGGACCTCAGGTTTTATGCATTGTTCTGAACTGCTTTTGTTTCTTAGTTGCTTGTATTACTAAGCACACCATGGGCATCTTACGAAACAGGGAAAATGGGGTTGGGTATCAGAGGAGAGCTGGAAAGCAATGTCTTGCTCTTCCCATTGGTACCCTGCAGTGCAGAAGGGTACTCTTTGTCATCCAACAGTAACCTCGCAGATAGAGTAGGGCCACTTTTGTCCTCCATGTAAGGAAGGGGAGACCCAGGCTCAGCCAAGTCAAGTGACTTGCCCAAGGTCTTGCTGTTGGTCACTGGTGAGGCTGGATTTGAACCCAAATGTGCGGACATGAGGGCCACAACCCTTATCCATTGTACCAAGTGCCAAGAAAGCAATTTTTTTGTTCTATCCTTACCTTTCTTTTCCCTATCAGGTGCTAAGAATTTTGTGAGTATTTGGTTACATTTTAGACTATTCCTTTGGAAATCTCTTAGAAATATTATTTTAAACCCTCTAACCTTATTTTTTTTAATTATTTTTTAACTTATTAGGCTCTGCTGACTGAGATGATGGAGAGATGTAAGAAACTAGGAAACAAGTAGGTATTTTAAGATTCATAAAGCATGAGTTTGAACATGAACTTGGCTGTCCCTTTGAGCTTGGCAAGCTTTTGTGGATAAGAGAGCTGGCAGAGGGGCTGAGTAACCAGTAGAGAGGCTCTCCCCACTGGAGTCCAGTTTCCTGGCCTCAGATCTTGGCTCCATTCTGTCTCATCTCTGTGACCTTGGTCTACTTACTCGATCTCACTGTGCCTCAGTCTCCTCATCTGTAAATTAGCCCTACCACTTAGCACAGTCTTTTCCACGTGGGGTGCTAAGTGGTAGGGCCAAGATGAACTTGATCTTTCTGTCTTCTGGTCATCTGAGGTTCGCTGTGCTCTCCTTTCAGTGGTAGATATATAAGCAGCCTTGGGGCCGGCAGATGGCATGGTGGTTGAGGTCGCTGGACTCCCACATGACCTACTGCAGTTTGATTCCTGGACCTGGTGACTTAGTTTCTCACTCCCCCCCACCCCACTCTGTCCCTCTCTGGTCAAAATAAAATAAGTAAATAAATTCAGTTACATAAAATAATTATGTTTTAAAAAAAGATATATAAGCAACCTTGAATGGGTTTTTCCCCCATTATGTTCTTAGTGCCTCAAACATAAGATCTCTTTGACAAGAGATGTGGATATGTATGAGTACCATGGGTCAAAAGTGTTACTTAATGTTTATTTTATTAATGCACTGGCCAATTTAACGCTAGCTTTTCCTTTTTTTTTTTTCTTTGTAAGAGGTTTTTCCTATAGGCCGCGTGTGCTCGCCAGACACCCAGAGACAGACAAAGAGATAGAAAGCGAGAAATCATCCCCTGGGGGGGTGGCCACGCTGCAATCCCTTCTCCTCCATTCTCTTCTTGGAATCTTGGGCACGCACACATACGTGCCCAGCATGAGTTTTAAGCCACCGGGTCCAGGATGTGAACCACGGTCAACTACATGGGAGTTCAGTGACATAGCCATTACACTAACTGCTGGGCCCAGCTTTTCCTATTTAAATGGATTGGATTGCTCGCTAATGTACTTGTCCATCCACTGTACACCCATTCATCTAGTTAATTCAACATGTATCGCACCCCAGAAATGTATAGAACAGTATATTAGTTTCTAGAGATTGCATTTTTACTCTAGCTTTTTTTTTTTTTTTCAACCTGACCATCAAACGGCTGTCCATCATCTTTCCTGGCAGTATACATCCTGAAATTAAAGCAACTTTCATTAAGAGGAACCTCAGCTGACTTGGAACATTTGTGTCTTGCAGTGCCTTGCTGCTGAATTCCGTAATGTCAGCTTTCCGGGCAGAGTTCATTGCCACGAGGTCTATGGATTTCATCGGCATGATTAAAGAGTGCGATGAGTCTGGCTTCCCCAAGGTAGGCTCTTGACTTAATGCTCAGCGGGAGAACAAATAGGCAGTGTCTATCTGATAGCACTCGAGGGAGAGAGTCCAGTGTCCTGGCACCGAGAGCCAGCAGGAAAACAAGCAAACTCTCTGTTTCTGATGGACATGATGGAAGATGAGTTAGAGATTGGGATTGTTGGACACACAGTAATTACTGCGTGTCGGGCCCCTGTGAGTCTTAAATCTACCAAATTAGCTTGCTACCAAGTAGTTAGGAAAACTTTGGTCTTAGATCTTTAAAAATATATTTTCATTCATTATTGAAAACTTAGTGCAACAGAATCTTATGGCCCACAAATGAGACCAAACCACGGGACCAGCTCTTTAAGTTTTTCAGTCTAACTCACACGGTCCTAGGGTAGTGCTTCAGAAAGGGTTGTTGGAAGATTAGCCCTGAGAAGAAATAAGTGTCACAACCTTTTCTCTCTTTTTCTCAAATTACTTTGATTTTAAATCTCCAGTAACATAATAATTTGATATTTTTCCCAGCATCTCCTTTTTCGCTCATTGGGATTAAACTTGGCCTTGGCTGATCCTCCTGAGAGTGATCGACTTCAGATTCTCAATGAAGCTTGGAAAGTTATCACTAAATTAAAGAATCCACAGGTGGGTGACCATTTAGACTTTAGGTCAATGGCTTTTTGTCTATATGGTGCAGTATTATATGTTCTTCTCTCTTAAAAATTTACGTTTTAACTAACTATACCTCTTCTTGAAAAGAAGTGTTTCTTTTCATTGTGTTATCTGTTTATCTTTAATGGAGAACTAATAGCTTTATAGGTATATTTCTTTGATTTTTGTATCTCAATTCTTTAAGCCTCAAGATGCACTAAAAGTATAAAAATGCTAATACGTGAAACTCTAAGAGCATCTAACTTAAAAAAGGGCATCCAAAATGCAAGTATAAATGTAGTTTTTGAATTTGAGCATACTAATTTGGTAGATTGTTTCTTAATGGAAGATGAGCAGTTCAGCCAGTAATCAGCAGAACGGTTTCTGGTTTCTGGCTCTCGAATGGCATTAGTGGAAGCCTCCCTACTACACAAGGTGTCGGAAGTCTTGGGCTGATAGACTGGCTGTTGTGCAAGTGATGGTGCCATCAAGTTGTCTGTTGAGTTTCTTGTCAAACTGTCCATTTAGGCAATTTGCCAACACTGATTTAGCTCCCACTGGGGAGAAAAGGTATTGCTTCCACGACCACAGAAGCCCCTGGACTAACTTCATCACATCCTTCCCTGGCTCTCTCTCTCTCTCTCTCTTTTTTTTTTTTTAATCTTTTTGAGGCATTATTTATTTATTATTTTTCAATTCAACCGGAGAGAGGCAGAGAGAAGAAAAGAAGGAGAGTGAGAAAGCAAACCACCAGGTCTGGTACTTGAACCACAGTTGGCCATGTGGGATTCTAGTGCCTTAACCATCATGCCACCTGCTGGCCTGTTATTTCAGGTTTTTTGCTATAGGTACAAAAACCTTGCTAGAGAGAGACAAAGAAAGAGAGAGAAAGTGAGAAATTGTTCCCAGGGGTGATGACCATGCTACAATCCCTTCTCCATTTTCCTCTCATTATTTTGGGCACATACACACACATGTCCTGTGTTATTTTTCTGTCTTTCTTTCTTTTTCTTTGAGAGATTTTTGCTATAGGGTGCATGCGCTCACCAGAGAGACAGAAAGTGAGAAGTCTCCTACCAGTGGAGATGGCCACACTGCAATTTCTTCTCCTTCATCCTCCTCAGAATTTTGGGCTTGCATGCATACGTACCCAGTGTGAGTTTCAAGCTACTGGGTCTGGTTCTTTTTTTTGGAGAGGTTTTTGCTATAGGGCGTGTGCGCTCGCCAGACAGACAGAGAGAGACATAGAGACAGAAAGCGAGAAATCACCCCCCAGAGGGGATGGTCACGCCGCAATCCCTTCTCCTCCATTCTCCTCTCGGGATCTTGGGCACACACGCACACGCGCCCAGCGTGAGTTTAAGCCACCGAGTCCGGGACGCGAACCTCGGTCGACTACGTGGGAGTCCAGCGACATAGCCATTACGCTAACTGCTGGTTCCCACTGGGTCTGGTTCTTAAACCGTGGTTGACCATGTAGGAATCTAGCACCTTAACCACCACACCACCTGCTGGTCCTATTCCTGTGTGATTTTTTGAGTCACTGGATCCAAGACTCAAACTGTGGTTGGCCATGTGGGAATCCAGCACTTTAACCACCACGTCACCTGCTGGCCCCTGCTTTTCACAAAACACACACATTGCCTCTCTGTAGGACAAATTCATTCATTCATTCTTTTTTCTTTTTTAATTATTTATTTAAATTTATTTATCATTATTATCATTGTTATTTTTTTAAATTTACTTTAGAGCATATGCACTCACTAGATAGAGAGAGAGAGAGAGAGAGAGAGGAAGTAAGCCCCCAGGACAGGGACCTGAACCATGGTTAGCCATGTGGGAGCCCAGCGCCTTAATCACCATGCCACATGCTGGCCCAAATGATTTCATTTTTCTTTTAAAGGAGACAAGCCTCTCTTTTTTCCGAACGTGTGAAAATCACATTTTTAAAAAGTTTCTTTCATGAGAGTGAAAGAATAGAAGCATTCTCGCCAGGGTCTCGTGGTGCAATTTCTCCCAGCTCTCAGTTTTTCAAGACCATGAGCACATGTGCCAGCATAGACAGGTCACCTAGGAACTGAACCTGTGATCTTCCATGTGATTTAGCCTTGCTTGAGCAGCACATTACCATCCCAGATCACATTGTAAGCAAAACTTGAGTCTTCAGCCAGATCCGCCACTGGTTTTTCTGCTGAGGTGTGAGTGCACCCCACAGTTATCTGGAAAGTTGATGCCCTTGTATTCTTCCAGTTCGGTGATTGTGATAGAGCTTCCCAGTTCCATTTCGGCCCAAGGAACAATCTGGAACAAAAGTCTGATTAGCTTTAGGCAGCTTATGTTTTTTTTATAGCTTGCCTCTCCTGGTAAAATGTTATCAGTGGCCCAGAACTTTATGCAGAGGAACCTCATCTGTGTTTCTTACCACTTGGGAACTCTCACTGTCAAAGCCCTTGTAGGGATTTGTACATGATGACCTTTTGCCATCAGGTTAACCATGCTGTCTTTATCGTTAAGACATTTTTACCTTTTCTTTGCAGGACTACATTAATTGCGCCGAAGTGTGGGTAGAATACACCTGCAAACATTTCACGGTATGTTTGGCTGTGAGCTTGTTTCTGAATTAGATTTTATTTCATGTTTATAATAGTGAATGAGTCCAGATAAGACGTTTTACAGTGATCATTGTTCTTATTTATAAAACTGCATTACATACTAAAGTGTTAATGGAGCATGAATTATATGCTTTAATAAAAGTATCCCATGCTCACATATAAACTTGAGAAATGTGCATTATTTAAAACCAAGCAGGTTTTTTTTAGGACAACATAGATGCTTATATACTAAAGCACATTGTGACTTTCTATGAGAATTTAATAAGTGGCATTTCCTAAGTATAATTTATTTGTGTGTATTTTTTTTTCCTAAGCAAAAGAAGATGCTTCTTTCACTGAGCACAGGCTAGAGCCATAGTTTGGGAAATACTGAGCCTGTCAAAGAGTAGAGACTTTAGACACAACCGAGTGGTTTCAGATCCTACTGTCAGAGTTCTTTGCTTATTTTAATCAACTTTTAGAAATCGAAGTATAGTATTGCTGTGTTATGAATGATTTTGTCCACACTTCTCTTTGCCCCACCAAAATTTGTATGTTGAAACCTAATCCCCAGTGTGATGGTATTAAGAGGTGGAGCCTTTGGGAGCTGATTAGATCATGGTGGGATTGGTACCTCATGAATGGAATTGGTGACTTTATTAAAGAGGCCAAGGAAGTTTGTGTACCCTTTCCACCTGGGAGAAGTGGGCCAACACCAGACACTGCATCTGCTGGTGCCTTGATCCCAGACTTCCATTCTTTGCTCTTGGGCTGTGTAAAAGCAGGCACTGGGTTGTAGTTGGCTAACCCCTGCTATAGGTGATGAAAGTGAACAGGAGCAATTAGGTCAGATGGCTTGTAAGGGGCCAGTCTGCTCTTCCCATAAGGCCTCCTACACTCTCTGCCTATGGGAGGGGCCTGGGACAGAAACACAGAAATTAGCACAGCAGGCTTTAGTACCACTTAGGAGAAGCAGAGGCTGTGAAAGGCTCCAGAACCTTTGAAAACAAGTGTCGAGTCCTGACTTGGTACAGATGAAGCCAAGTTTAGGGCAGTGAATCCTAGACCAGAGGATATTTCTTTGTATTACTTTCAGCCGACTATCCGAAACTTTCCTGAAGATGTGTGTGATATTCTGAACGTTAGTCCTTTCCCCTTGGAAAATGGTCAGTGATTGCCATTGAGTGATTCAGTTCTGATTTATTTTCCCCACTTAGAAACGAGAGGTGAATACCGTTTTGGCAGATGTCATCAAGCACATGACACCAGATCGTGCATTTGAAGATTCTTACCCTCAGGTAATAGGTTTGCCTTTCTCAGTCTGACACTTTAAAAACTGTCCTTGGCCAGCTGGTGGTATGGTGGTTAAGGCAACTGGATCCCACGTGGCTGACTATGAATTTCAAGTCCTGGACCTGGAGGCTTGAGAAACATACTGGGTGCGTGTTTGTGTGTGCACAGAATCCTGAAAGGAGGGAGAAATGGAGAAGGGATTACAGTGAGACCATTACCTATAGGGGTTGCTCTGTCTCTGTCTGTCTATCTCTCTCTCTCTCTCTCTCTCTCTGTCCCTACTCCCTGCAAGCGCACGCACCTTTGGTAAATTAAAAAAATAAAAAACTTTGCTCTTTTCAATTAAATAGTCATGTTGCATGGGTCAAACCATGAAGTCTGATAATTCTGTGTTTGAATCCTAGCTCTGCCATGTGCTCCCTAATCAGTTTCTAAACCTTATTCTGCTTCTGTTTCCTCACCTGTAAAGTGGGGATCATAGTTCTACCCTCAGAGTTGTCGCAAGGATTTGCTGAAATGCAGTATAAGAAGGTCTACCCCTCTCCCTCTACTTGCAGGTATCGCATTTTCAATGACCCCTCTGGAGGATAGCTGTCTATAGCAGAGATAGAGTAATTGGGAGAGGGGGAAAGGGCTGAGGGTCAAACATAGGACAAAAAACATATTTATATGTATGAAAGTAGAAATGGAACAGTATTGGTGACGACATGCTTGATTGAGACACTATGCAGTTTATCCTAGATGGGAAACTACACTTGGTGTGTTGTGATGATACTCAGGGAATGAGTGTTAGGCAATATAATTTAATATAAAAAAAAAATAATAATAAGCAGGAGGAAAAAAAAATGCACATTTGATGACTGAAGAGAGGTGTATGGACACAACTGGGGACTACTTTATAGTATGTGCATTCTACTCCCTGGGGTTTATGCCTAGGATCAGATTTGGATACATGTGTAAGGATATGTCAGCTGTGCTAGCTAGTGGATATACTTAGACTAATTGAGTTCATTGGTAGAACAATTGAATGGGGGGGGCGGAAGGCATTGAGGACAATCATGAATGTCAGGGACAATGGAGGAGGAAGATGGGACATGGCAGAGGGTGGGGATGGGGAACCTAGGATGGCAAAACAAAAGGCAAGGTATGCAGGACAGACACAGCCGCTGAGCACATGATAAATGCTGAATAAGCAATTGTCACTGTTAAGTAAGGTGCCTATGTTACTGTGTTAATTAATATTTTTTTTTTCTTGGAGAGGTTTTTGCTATAAGGGCGCGTGCGCTCACCAGAAAAAGAGAGACAGAGAGACAGAAAGTGAGAAATCACCCCCCAGGGGGGATGGCCACGCCATAATCCTTTCTCCTCCATTCTCATCTCGGGATCTTGGGCATGCACGCACATGTGCCTGGCGTGAGTTCAAGCCACCAGGTCTGGGACTTGAATAGTGGTCAGCTACATGGGAGTTCAGCGACATAGCCATTATGCTAACTGCTGGTCCCTGTTAATTAACTTTAATTTAAAAATAAATGTAAGCTTATTGGAAAGTTGAAAGACTGGCTCAAAGAACTTGCATTATTCTTTGCCCAGATTCATTAACTGTTAACATTTTACCACATTTGCTTGATTGTTGCTATTGCATGTGCACAGATACACTTATGTGCACTCACATATGTATGTACATTTTTTTCTGAATTACTTGAGAATGAGTTGCTACTTCATGCCACATATTTGCCTCTAAAAAGTTTGATAAATATTTCCTAAGATTAAGGGCACCCTTGTCCATAACTGTGGTCTGTTACCAACTTCTGGGACTCTAACGTTAGTGTATTACTGTTTGGTACTCTACAGGTCATGCCCTGCGTTTGTCAGTTGACTCCATGTCCTTTGTGATAGGGTATTCTTTTTTTTTTTCCCTCTCCAGTCTAGATTCTAGTTTAAGATCACTTATTATAAAGTAACTCTGTCCCTCTCTGGTCAAAATTTTTAAAATATAAAATAAAATCAATAAATGAAGTTAAATAAAAAAAAGGAGGCCAGCAGGTAGCGTGGTGATTAAGGGCACCGGACTCTCACATGGGCAACCACGGTTCAATTCCTGGACCTGGTGGCTTGCTTTCTCACTTTCCTTCTTTCTCTCTCTCTCTCTCTCTGTTCCTCTCTGATCAAAACTTTAAAAATATAAAATAAATAAATAAAGTTAAATAAAAACAAAAGTTACTCTGACCTAATTTAAGATTTTCTCTTTTCATATAATAATATCATTTTCTGCTATCATCACATTAGTTTGATTTTGAACTTCACTCAGTATAAGGCATTTAGTTAAATATTTTTGTAAAATTTTAGAATACTTATATTTTACTAGTTCAATTATTTTTCACCGTTCACTAATTAAAACGGTTCATCTTTACAATTTATTGAGCAGCCACTTACCACATACATTTTTCTAGTTGTGATGAAAGCAGTACGTGGTACATGTCACAGCTGAAGCCCCGTAAATAAATGTCACTGAAGGAGTAAAGTGTTAGAAGAGATGATTTGTACCCCTGTGGATTTTCAAGACTGTTGTTCATTAGAATTTTTATTGAGGACTGTGTACTAAGACCTGGACTGTTCAGGACTTGGTTAATGGAAAACTTCAAATAGCATAATTTTGAGGCAGTTCATTGAGGGATGGGACCTGTACTAGACTATCAGTCTGTCATATCCAAAGTAACTTATAAAAGATGCTCTGGGGTCAGCCAGCATTCAGGATAGCCATCTGTATGGGAGTGAGCTGCATGGACGAAGGGAAGTCATGGCAAGGAAGGTAAAATTGACCATCTGCTGGTCCCAACCATCGCTGGACTGCCACATGGCCTACCACAGTTTGAGCCCTGTACCCACAACCTTGAATCTCATGCTGGGCACATGTGCATGCGTGCCCAAAATTCCAAGAGGAGAATGGAGGAGATAGGATTGTGGGGGGTGAGTTCTTGCTTTCCGACAAGCACATGTGTCCTATAGCAAAAATCTCTTAAAAAAAAATATTGCCTCGGTCCATGGAGACTTGGTCTGGAGTAGAGAAGTATAAGATGAGTCCTGAACATTTTGTGTGTGTGTGCCGTACATTAAGGAAGTGATAGGGCTGGCAAGTGGCATGGTGGTTAAAGGCGCTGGACTCCCACATGGCCGACCACGGTTCAAGTCTCGGACCTGGTGACTTGCTTTCTCACTTCCTGTCTCTCTCTCTCTCTCTGATCAAACTGGATAATAATAATAAATAAAGTTAAAGTTAAAAAAAAATTCTTTAAAAAAAAAGGAAGTGGTAAAAAAAAAACTGATGGAAACACATGAAAAGGGTCCAGGAGCAACTCAAAAGTGACTCTCACAGGCTCCCAATTTGAGCAGAGAAATTCAGACAGTAATGGGTCATCACCCATAGAATACAGTAGGATTCTAGAAGACTTCCTTTATGGTGAGCAGGTAAGTAGGTACACGAGGCGAAAAGTGGACAGGGGGTGCCAATTAAGGAATGTGGAGCAAATGGTAGAGATGGAAAATCACCAGTTTGCAGTAGTCACAGTAAAGACTAATCATCTACCTTCAGGCAAAAATGATCAATCTGGAGGTGGTGGGGGGCTCACAAGGAGCAGGATGTTTGCTTATCTCAAAGGATCGTTCTCTAGAACAGATATTAAATTGCAAGGGGAAAATAGTGCCTGTACAGCAGGGAAATTGCAGTCATTGACCAGCTAATCAGAATTCATAATCACCAGTGAGGAACAGAGCCTGCATGCGCCTCAGACGCAGTACCCTGGGAAAGTCACTGCACCTATGAACTGCTGAACGTGGTTCCCGACCAGCTCCTGGATGGAAGGGAGGAACAAATAATTCCATAAAGGACTTTTTCAGATAATGGATAAGATTAGAATATGGAAAAAAGATGAAAGTGTTTTCATTATACCAATATTAACTTTCTTGAATTTGCCAACAGCAAAGTGGAGATGTCAGAATATAATTATTTGTAGGAAATACAAAATGAAGTATTAAGGGTTGAGGGACATGATTCATAGTCTGCTCTCATATGGTTCAGGAGAAATAGTGTGCCTTACATAGAATAAAAAAGTAATTTAAAGTATTCTTAAAAAAAATATGAGCTATCTATACTCTATGTTCTATTCTATCAATTTTTCTGCAAGTTTGACATTATTTCCCCCCAAAATGCACAGTCTGTGTGTTTATGAATTCTGCTACTAGATGGATGGATGGATAGATGAGGAAATAAAACAAATGTAACAAAATGTAAGCTTTTATAGAGCTAAGTAGTTGTGTATTTGGCTGTGTGTTGTATAGTCTTTTCAGTTTTCTTTATGCTTGAGCATTTTCGTAATGGAATATTGAAGGAAATAACCTATCTTTTTAAGATTAGAGTTTATGGATAACTACTTAAATATTTTAAAAATGTTCTGAAAGAATTAGTTGCCTGTGTTTCAGAAGCTATTTTAAGACAATACTGCAGTATCTTCTAATCTTCTGCTTTGAAGCATTGTTTGTCATGAAGTTTGGAAGTTCTTTATTAATCTTTTGCTTCACTGATCTAGTAAGCTGCTGAATTATGAAATGGGCTTGTACTTCACATTCTCTGGTTTTAGAACATGAAAGATTTCCTTTGTAATGATTTAAACAGCAGCTTTTTAAATAATTATTTAATTTTATTTATTTATCCATTTATTTTTTAAATTTGACCAGAGACACACACACACACACACACACACACACACAGAGAGAGAGAGAGAGAGAGAGAAGGAAAGTGAGAAAGCAAGCCACCAGGTCCTAGACTCGAACTGTGGTCAGCCATGTGGGAGTGTCCAGCACCTTAACCACTATGCCACCTGCTGGTTCCCTAAACTGCAACTTTTTCATACAAAGTATTTAAGTGAACTTTTTCATAGCATCCAGGGCAGGGATATTCTAAAAATTCTAAAAAATATTTTCTTTAGAAATAGCATCTATTGGGTCATTGGGAGAGTCATGACACATTTTTGCATAGGAAAACATTAAAACAAACATGTCATGACTTTCCCGATGACCTAATACTTGGTTCTCTGGACCAAGGACCTACCAGTCCTTTCAGTGGGGACTGTGTGCATCTCAGGGTGAGGGGTGGTAACTGTCAGTACCTGGGCATTTCTGAGGTAGTCCTTACAGTCTGTGTCAACCTCCTCTGGTAATGTGGCCTTTGATCCCACTGGCAAACTCAGACCTAATTCTCTACACTGAAGTAATCAGTGTCAAGCCACAAAGGTCTCCGATAGAAGTTGGCCAACTATGACTCACAGGCGTAGGTGGCCTGCCAGCTGTATTTGTAAATAAAGTTTTATTGGCACATGGTCATGCCTATCATTTACGTCTTGGCCATACTGCTTTCACTCTACCATAGCAGCATTGAGTGATGGGATATAGGCCTTTCATAGGAAAGTGTGTTGGGATATAGGCCCTTCACAGGAAGTTTGCCCACCCTTGAGTATTAACAGTAGCTGACACGAAGGAGAGCTTTCCAAGGGCAAGTACTGCTCTAAGCACCTTACAGGAGCCATCCCATTTACTCCTTGAATGTCCTGCTTTGATCTTCATTTTGCAGATGAGGTCACTGAGGCTCAGACATCACTAGAGTAGGATGTACTGAGTGAGATAGACCAAGATAGGGCCTAAGCTAACCCTAATTCCCCATTCCTTGAACAATTCAGGCTTACCCTTTTAGATCATAATTGTAAGTTATGATAGTTACCTGGGCTGGAGCATGTGGTTAAGGCACTGGATGCCACATGGCTGACATTGGTTTTAGTCCCAGACCCAGTGGCGTGTGGGCACATGTGTGCATATTCCCAAAATTCCAAAAGAAATGGAGAAGGAATTGCAGAATGACCGTTTCTGCAGGGGGGTGCTTTCTCACTTTCTCATTCCCCTTTACCTTCTTTTCTCTCTCTTCCAACAGCCCCCGCCACCCTCTGCCCCATCCCACTCCCCTGGCTCTCTCTGCTAATGCACAGGCTCTCTAGCAAATTTTTTAAAAAATAAAAAAAAAAGGCAGTTGCCTTTGGGAAGAAATCGAAGTTTTATTAAGTAAGAAGTGTTTTTTGTTTGTTTGTTTTATTTTGCAGCTTCAGTTAATAATTAAGAAAGTTATTGCCCACTTCCATGATTTCTCAGTTCTTTTCTCAGTGGTAAGTCATATTTCCTAATTATTTTTGCAAGTCTGTATCTGGGTCAGAAGTTCTCTTGATGTCTCAGTCATTTTTTTCATGGCACTCTAGGCCAAAAGAATTATTCAGCAGTTCCTTTGATAAAGCAGTTGGGTCTGATCAACTCAGTAAGTATTTATGTCCTGACAACTTAAATAGCATTTGAAGAAATAATACAGCTTGAATGTCCCTTAGCTGAAATGATTACGACCAGAAACGTTTGGGATGTGAGGGTCTTTGGGGACTTTTGAACATTTTCATGTACATAATGAGATATTGTGGATGGCATCGAAGTCCGAACCTGAAATTTGTTTTTGTTTCCTATACACCTTAGACACATGCCTGAAGGGGATTATGCGATGCTTTAGTATCGCAGCATTTTAAGTGCAACCTCTCACATTGAAGTCAAGCATAGAATTTTCCATCAAAAAGCTGCACATTTTGGGGAACTAGCAGTTAGCGTAATGGCTATGTCTCTGGACTCCCACGTAGTCAACCGCGGTTCGTGTCCCGGACCCGGTGGCTTAAAACACACCAGGCGCGTGTGCATGCGCGCCCAAGATCCCGAGAGGAGAATGGAAGAGAAGGGATTGCGGCGTGACCATCCCCTCTGGGGGATGATTTCTCGCTTTCTCTCTCTCTGTCTCTGTCTGTCTGGCGAGCGCACGTGCCCTATAGCGAAAACCTCTCCCCCCCCCCAAAAAAAAAGCTGCACATTTTGGAGCATGACAGATTTTGGACTTTTGGATTAGGGTTGCTTGACAGGTGCACATAAACTGAAAGAAAAACATCACTTCTAGTTCATTTGTGACTTAGTAGTGGACACTACACAACTTCTCCACCTTTCATCAGATTGGTTGGGCCTCCTCGTCCTCAGTCCTCCTTCCATTCATTTTTACCTGGTGCTTCTTACCATGCATTCTAACGTCAAGATGATAAAATACATCAAGCTAGCGTTACCTCTGTTTGACAGACTTAGGATTTATTATGTTTCCCTCAAAATTTTAAAGTTTCCTATGCCAGGGGTCAACAGGTGGTTAAGGCACTGGATCCCACATGGCTTACTCTGTGATTCAAGTCACAGACCTGGCAGTTTGAAAAACATGCCACGTGTGTGTGCATGTGTGCCCAGATTGCTAAGAGGAGAATTGAGGAGAAAGAATTGTGGCATGGCTGTCCCCTCTATGGGGTGATTTCTCATGTTCCCTCTCTCTTTCTCTGTCTTTCTCTAGTGAACGCATGCACCCTACACCAAAAATCTTTTAAAAAGAAAAAAAAATCTTGTCACATTCTTTCAAGTTTACTAGAGTACAAGTAATTCTAGACTGTTTTCTGTGTAGAAACATTCTCTGTCCCTCCCATAGTTTTCCTCTTCCAGGTTCTGTTTATGTATAGTCATAGGATTGTAGGGGTGTGTGTGTGTGTGTGTGCGCGCGCGCACATGTGCACACAGACATGCCTTAAGTAATAGAAGGGAATATTAATATTAATTGAACAAAGACCATTCTGCAAACACATCACTGGACCTCTACATGCATTGTCTCACATTATTTTCACACCACCACTGGGAAGTAGGAGTTATTGTTCTGACAAAATCATTCTGGAAGAGGTGGAATAACTCGTGTAGGATCATATAGCCATAAGGTCAGGGTCAAAACTCAGGGTGGGCAGTTGAGGTTCAATACTACCCTTTGATCCACTCCACCTGAGCCTTCTTTCTCTGTGCATCATTATTAAAAAAGATTAGTCTGCCTTGCATTTTGGTACCTGGAAAAGTTTCTGGTCATCTATAGGCTGCCCCGATGATTCCCCAAAATGTGAACTGATCCCAGCACTAACCCCTGGGGCACATGTAAGTTGTTTCAGTAGTACCAGTTTTTAAAAATCCCAGTCCAATCCTCTCCCTGCATCCTGGGAAACTCTCCTCTGACTGCCACAGAGACAACTTTTCTGCTTTCTGACTTCCAAAGAAAAACTGGCCTGCAAATTCCTTCCTCCTAGTAACTTGAGTAAATTGCATGTAAAGTGCTTTCTTCATTTTTAGGAAAAATTTCTGCCGTTTCTGGACATGTTCCAAAAAGAGAGTGTGCGGGTAGAGGTTTGCAAATGCATCATGGAAGCCTTTATCAAGTGAGTATAAGTTGGTGTCTTCAGAAGCTTAGATTTCTGATGCCTTTGTGAAACTACTGTTAACAAAGCAGTTCATATACTGCGAGGCCTGGTGATGAGTACACATTGCACATGGAAAGCAACATTAGGAAGATCTCATTAAAAGCAACCATCTGCATAAAAGTTTGTAATAAGTGTTTAGGAAGACAAACAGTTGGGTTGTCAGGAAAAGTCATGACGTATTTTTTCCAGTTTTCTATGCAAAAAATGCATCATGACTTTTCCAACAGCCCAGTAGTAAGTATTAGAAAGCACCTGGCCAGCAGCTATATTTCACTTGAATGTTTTTAGGAGGAGCCATCTTTTGATGAGCTGTCTAGGGAACAACATTTTGAAGGATTAAGAAATAAAGGCATACTTATGAAGGCATCAGTGCTAGAGAGGTTTTCATTTTCAGCGATTAGATAAGTAGCTTATTTGTGATCAGGTTTCAAATTTAGTTCTTCATTTTGTTGATTAAGTTTATGTTTCCTCAGACTGTCTACTGACAAGTGATACATTAAAACATTTGAAGGTGGTATGTGGAGGATGGTTTTAATTTTAATTTTTTTTGTTTTTTTAAAGAATTAATTTAATTTTACTTATCTTTTTTAAAAACTTTGATCAGAAAGAAGCAGAGAGAGAGAAAAAAAATGAGAAAGCAAGCCATCAGGACTGGGACTCGAACCATGGTCGCCCATATGGAAGTCCAGTGCCTTCCCACCAAGCCACTTGCTGGCCCTTTTATTTTTATTTTAAAAGTTACAGATTGATTTTTTAAAATATATTAAATTATATCTATAACTGGTTTATTTCATCTTGATATCATGTGTATTTTAGATTAATTTAAAAAAGATAAAATCACTTTAGTGAATGTATAGATATGGTTTCATTTTGAAGATTGAATTTGTTGGTGCTCTAATATATTTTAGGTTTTTCTTGTTTTTCTGAGAGATTGATGGCATTAATTCATACTTAATGTACTTGGAACAAATATATCTACTTTATTTACATAAAGATTCATTGAAAGGGTTTATCCTTTTATATTATTTTTAAAATCAAATTAATAACTTTGCCTGGGACTTCGCACAGTAACAGGTCGTGGGCAGCTTTAGAAAGTACAAGAAACATAGTAAGAAAACAGGTTTACCCCGTGCTCAGCTTAGGAAATAGAACAGTTTTACTGTGATTTTGCAGTTAGGAGAAGTTAAAATATTTTTAGGAGGTACACATATTATAAAACTTGTCATTTAGAGAAGAATTAAGAGAAAACCAGAATGCTGCCCGTTAATAGTGAACTGGGCCTTGTGAAATGCCAACCAGATAGTTGGCTGCTTCTCAGATATGTACAGTACATGAGAACTGAATGAATGCTTTTGCCATTCTCTGTAAATGTCTCCTAGGCACCAGCAAGAGCCCACCAAGGACCCTGTCATTCTGAATGCACTTTTGCACGTTTGCAAGACCATGCATGACTCCGTGAAGTAAGTCAGGCTTCCAGCTGCAGTGTAACATGGACTGGGGTCTGAATATCACCTGATAGTACCTCTGGGAATGACTGCTTTAAGTGCCACTGTGAATAATACTACTTTATTGGGTCTATTCAGATTCTTGCTAATGAGGACATTCCAGTCCACGGGAGAGGACAGAGAAGGCTGAGGGTAACCTTCCTGAGAAAATGAGATGGCAGATGTTTTTACAAAGGGATTTCTGTTGGGAGGGAAAAAAAGGCTGGTTTCGTCCAAATGAACTCAAACTCCATGTCTCCTCAGAGATTTCTGAGCGCCACAGATAGTCTAATAATGAGCTCACTCATCCAGTGACATAGCCTTTTAATTTAATCTCATTATTAGCCAATTATTTGAAATTCAAATGAAATCGCTTGTATTTCTTACATGGAAGACTTACTTGCTCAGTGAATTTGAGGATCTGACCTCTCCACAGACTTTATCTTTTGGTCAAAGGCTGAATTGACCCTCTTTTACTTTGGAGAGTTTGCTTTCTGTGTTGTGTGTGTGTGTCTTTTCCTTCAAACATGTTTGCATTTGTGTTTAAGATGGCTCCTACTTATTTGTAGCTGAAATTTTAGTCCCCAAAGAATTTTTTAACACAACTTGATTTACTGGAAAATGTTATAAGAATTGAGAAAATTGTTTTGAAACTTAACCATCAACAAGAAAAATTTTATTTCTTTTCTTTCTTCATGAGTTACTTTCAAATTCACAGGTAGTTATATAAATTAAGATGTCAAGATTTTTCTTTTTTCTTTTTTTTTGGAGAGGTTTTTGCTACAGGGAGTGTGTGCTTGTCAGAGAGACAGAAAGCGAGAAATCACCCCCTAGGGGGGATGGCCATGCCGCAATCCCTTCTCCTCTCAGGATCTTGGGCACGTACGCACACATGCCCAGTGTGAGTTTAAGCTACCTGGTCTGGGACTCAAACCATGGTTGACTACATGGGAGTTCAGCGACATAGCCATTATGCTAACTGCTAGTCCCTCAAGATTTTTCATAATAAGTGGAACTGGTACACTTGAATTGGACAAGAATAGAAACAAAAGCACACCAAAAAAAATCTAGAAACGGACTAGTATTTGTAGGATATTGGTTTTGGCTTAAGTAAAATAGATTTATTTCTTAATAAAGTGTGAATAGGGGCCAGCAGATGGTGTAGTGGTTACATCCTTGGATTACCACATGGATACCGCAGTTCGAGTCCCAGACCTGGTGACTCGAAAATCACACCAGGTGCATGTGTGTGGATGCTCGAGATCCCAGGAGGAGAATGGAGGAGAAGGGATTGTGGCATGGCCATCCCTTCCAGGGGAATGAGTTCTCACTTTCCCACTGTCTCTATCTCTCTCCTGTGAGTGTGTGCGCTCTAAGTCAAAGACCTCTTTAAGTAAATAAATAAATAGAAGTGTGGAGACCAGCAGGTGGTGTATGTCTCTGGACTCCCACATGGTCGAGTGTGGTTTGAGTCCCCAACCCAGCATCTTCAAACCACAGCAGGAGCGCTTATGTGCATGCTCAAAAATCCTGAGAGGAGAACAAAGAAGGGATTATGGCAGGATTACAGCATGGCCATTCCCCCCTCCCCCCAGGGTGATTTTTCGCTTTCTATCTCTCTGTCTCCGGCAAGTGCACGTGACCTATAGCAAAAACTTCTCTAAAAATAACTAACTAAATAAAAGTGTGAATAAGTAGATCAGAAGGTAGGGTTAGGGTAGCTCTTCTTTTTTAAAAAAATTTTTATTGTATTTTTTTCCTTTCATTTATGGCAGAAAACATCCATGTGCAGGCGAGAGTTAGAGAGCAAGAAAGGAGCACCTTCTGCAGAGTCTAGCCACCCACAATCCCCTTCCTCCACCTCCAGCCCGTTAGTTCTTGGTCACATACACATGTCGTCAGCATGTTTCAGGCCAGCCGGGCTGCCTGTGGGATGCAGTTTTCTCTGAATACTGCATTACTGCTGCTCCACAGAGCCGGCTTTGGGCTCGCGCACTGTTCTTTCAAACATCCTGCAGGGACCTGAGTTCTTTCTCCCTTGTTGCCCTGACATCCCTCTGGCTGTCTTCCGTCTTCGGCTGAAAGCTGACCTGCCCCAACCATGTCCACGTTGCAGCCTGTGTGCACTGGGGGATGCCAGCTTCCTTTCAGTACAACACGTGGAGACTTGCACTTGCATTCGTATCCCATTGCTCGCACTATCACACAGCCACACCTGGCTGCTCGGGAACGTTATCTCAAAGAATAAAGGACTTTGTATATTGGACAACAATGTGCAGGCATTGCCCAAACTCATTTTCCCTTAGAACAAACCAGCAAATAAAAACCTTGATTTCTGTTTTCTCTGAGATCTTAAATTAAAAAAGAAAAACAGAGCTGGGGTAACTATTTAGAGGCTTAACATGAATAATCAAAATGATAAAGATTTGACATTTTCTTATTTTATATTTATATTAAATATTCTATTAAATAGAACCAACTAAAATCTTGACGTACTTTAAGAGGCATCTAGAAATTAGATGGTTTGGGAACCAGCAGTTAGCATAATGGCTATGTCGCTGGACTCCCACGTAGTCGACCACGGTTCGCATCCCAGACCCGGTAGCTTAAAACTCACGCCGGGTGCGTGTGCGTGCATGCCCAAGATTCTGAGAGGAGAATGGAGGAGAAGGGATTGCGGCATGACCATCCTCCCTGGGGGGGTGATTTCTCGCTTTCTGTCTCTATGTCTCTCTGTCTGGCGAGCACACACGCCCTATAGCGAAAACCTCTCCAAGGGGAAAAAAAAAAAGAATAGAAATTAGATGGTTTAACAAATGAGAGGGGGGGTGAGCAGGTGGCATGGTGGTTAAAGTGCTGGACTCCCACTGTGATCCAGTAGCTTAAAACTCATGCTGGGTGCATGTGCATGCCCAAAATCCCAAGAGGAGAATGGAGGAGAAGGGATTGTGGCGTGGCCATGGTGGGGACGGCGATTTCTCTCTTTCTGTCTCTGTGTCTCTTCAGTGAGCACACGTATCCTATAGCAAAAATCTCTCAAAAGAAAAAAAAAAGAAAAAAGGAGAAAGGGAATGGATAGTTACATGATAGGTATATAAAATCTTCAAGTAGTTCATGGAAAAATGCATGTTGTGAAACCTACCAGGCCAGTAGGTTAATGTGGCTGGATCCCAGACTGTTGACTGTGCAGTTCAAGTCCTGGACTCAGTGGCTTGAGAAACAGCTGGGTGTTGTTATTCCTTGGCCTCTTGGCTAAGATCAAATGAGAAACACTCTGGGCACATGTGCATGTATGAGCAAAATCCCAAAAAGGAGAGAGAATGGAGAAGGGATTGCAGGGTGTCCAATTCCCCATCTCTCTGTCTCCTGTGAGCATATGCGATTTAAAAAGTTGTTTTTCAATTTTAAAAAAGAAGAAGACTATGCATGAGTTTCCAACAATTTTTGTACCAAAATAAAGCCGTATCTTTTTATTCATATTGATTGATTTTTTTATTTGCCAGAGGGCACATGAGCTCACCAGAGAGAAACAGAAAGGGAGAGGAAGGAAGCACTCCCAGTAGGGCGTGGTCATGCACTGTCCCATCCCCCCGTTTCTCCTTCCTGTTGTGCACATGCGTGCACAACTGCCTGGCATGGTTTTTAAGCTGCTAGAGCAGGGGTTCAAACCACTGTTGGCCATGTGGTATCCAGCACCCTTGATCACTGGGCCACTGGGCTGACCCATAAACTTGTATCTTCATTTCATTTTTCCATTTTCTTTTTGAAGTCTCCTCATAGTATAAAATACTATAATGTAGATATGGTAGGGTCCCAGTGGTGGGCATCTGGATGTTCACTGGAAAGTTCTTTCAACTTTCCTGTATGTTGGAAATATTTTGTTATAAGATGTTGAACAACGATTCTCTAAAATATGCAATCTGATGTTAGACCTTGCCTAAATTCCAAAGAAAATTACCTTCTCTTTTCTTATTAATAAACAGATCCTCAGAACGGTTTCTTCGAGGGAAATAAGCACATTTAAATGTTGTTAATTTTGAGTACCTGCTTTTATCAAAAAAAAAATATATATATATATACACACATATAGCCTAATCAAAGTTTTTTAAATATAGAAAATGCAGGCTGTTTTTACCTGCTAAATTGTTTACCTCATGTGTATTTTTTTCTCTTTTGAACTTTCTTTTATTACCTCAGTGTTAATTATGTACAATTATTGATTTTTAGTGCACTCACTCTGGAAGATGAGAAAAGAATGCTGGCATATTTGATTAATGGATTTATAAAAATGGTAAGTATTGGGGAAGACATTTTAGCGCACTTGGAAATGTGATGTAATTGTTTATCCTTACTCTGGTGAAAGCAGTTAACATTATGTTCCCTGGTGCTTTTCATTTTTATCGAGATAGGATGAAATTAGAAAACGTCTTACATTAGCCAGAACTCCCTTGGGAACAAAAAGAGCCAAGGCAAACTTGCTTAAGGAAAAGAAAAGTGAGGGGAGTTGGAAGGGAGGCCTCACTGGCTCAGGTGGCAAGTCCATGAAGCTCTCTGAAGGAGCAGCAGGACTCAGGGGCTCAGTGATGTCAGCAGGTCCTGGGGTCTGTGTCCATGTTTGCCTGGGGCTCTGCTCTGTGGCTCCCCTCTTAGACAGGCTCGCTCCCCACAAGAGCTCCTGCTTCCATTCCCCTGGCTCTGTAACCAGCAGGAGGGTCTCCTGCATGAGTCCTGGGATTGAGTTTCCAGGTTAATTTGGATCCTGGGCCCAAACATACCAATTGGCTGGGTCTGAGAGACAGGCACTCCTGAGACCAAAGTGGAAGGAAGGGTTCCCCTGTAGCATCTGATATGCTGATCACCAGATGCTGGTGAAAACTATGCTGCCAGGCAAAACACCAGACACCCACTCCTTGTCTTTTTTAGTTCTGTTGTTACATCACTGCTGTGTAACAGCTCACCACCAAGCTTAGTGATTTTAAATAGTCACTTAGCGCAGCCACAGTAGCCTGTACTGTTGGGCACCACTACTCAGTGGCCTGAGGCCACATGGGAGTCCCAAGTTCAATTCCAAGCCCACCCTAAAAGCCAGGCATGGTGGTACACACTTATGGTCTCAGCTACTCATGTGACCAAGGCAAGAAAATTACGAGCTCATGGCCAGGATGGGCAACAGAGCAAGATCCCATCTGAAGCCATGGAGCATGGTAACAGGAGGATCACAACACAGTAAAACCTTGTCTAAAAAACAGTCATTAAACAAGAAAACAAAACTATTTTATTATTAGTTTTTAAAATTTGGTGAGTAAGTCAGCCACTCCATATGGTTTCAGCTGCTATGGCCAGATTGAGATAGAGAGAAATATCCAGGGCCTTGTTCCTGGCTGTTGACTGGGTGTGTTTTCTTCCATGTGACTTCTTCCTTACCACTGTTCTCTCATCGTTCAGCCATCAAAAGTCTGTTGAGCACTTTTGCATGGTACGGGCTCCTGTGAGGGCACAGATGGAAGCTGCCAGGCTTTTTCTGCTGCAGTCTGTGGTCAGAGTAACTCAGAGGGCCCGCCCCAAAGGAGGGGAGGGGGAGGTACTCAGCCACTTGAAGGCAGAGTCAAAAGGGACATTGAAAAAGACAAGAAGAGTGGGAGGGATTACTGCAGCCTTCTTGGGAAGTAACCCACCGTTTTACCAGCCCAGCCAGAACAGTCTTTGAATTCTTGGTGCTTAACGCTTGTAAACCAATGGTAGCCAATATCCTTTATTTTAATAGAAAGGTCAGAATCAAAGCTGACCAAAATGGAAACAATGACATTACTTTGAAAATAACCTTGAACTGGTGACTTGTTCAACAACAGGTGTCAATTTAACTGTCTACCTGACTCTATGGGGAAAATATCATTTTATTTTAATTGCCAGATAGAGAGGGAAAGGGAGAGAGCACTTTCCATTGGGGCGATCACGTCCCAATCCCTCTTCTTTATTTCCCCGTCCTGTTGGGATTTTAGGCATACATGCACATGTGTCTGGCATGTTTCGTGAGCTGCAGGGGCTGCCACACAGGGTCCGGCTCTTTTACCCACTAGGCTGCATGGCCCCAAATACCACTTTTGATGAAAAATCAGAATTGGCCTTTCAATTCCCTGTTAGGAAGTGTACCTCTAGATTTACCAGGTGACTTTCCTTTGTCCTTGGTTTATGTACTGATCTCGTGGTATTTATCCTTTTATGGCTTTGCCTGAAAGTCACTAAATTATAGTAGAAAAGAATATGAGGAAATAAAATGTGAAAACTGATAGCTATAATGGAAAAAGCAAAATTCAACTTCCTCTGGATAAAAGTGATTGATGTAGCAGTAAAGTTTCTCCTACTAATCAGCTGTCCATAAATTTGAAGAAATAGGAGAAGAGGCGACTCTCGGTGGTGGGGAAACTTCCTTCTTTAGCTCCAGCAGCCACTAGTAAGCTGCTGAGTTTAGAATCCCCAACAGGAAGCAGAAAGGTGTGGCCCTTAGTGAAACCCCTTTGCTAAATGACTCCCAACAACCGAATTTATGTCCTGTGCAAAGGCTCCAGCTGACAAACAAAATTCCGCAATTTCCTTTCTGGTGGTTTCCTTCTCAGCCTGGAAAATTCTGTTTACATTTTGAGCTTCTGTTTTGTACCCTTTGACTTGTTTTGTTCTGGTCCAGTGCCATGTCGTAAAGGCGAAGTGGTAAGAGTCATACTGGAGTTATACACTGGTTAATGTAAGGTAAAGACTTTCTAGTGAAAGTATATTCATGTGTATTTCCTCTAAAGATAATAGTGTCCCTTTCAGCATCTTTCTCCTTGATTCTAGGTTTCCTTTGGCCGTGATTTTGAACAACAGCTAAGTTTTTATGTCGAGTCCAGGTCGATGTTTTGCAATCTAGAACCCGTTCTTGTGCAGTTGATTCATGTAAGGATTTTCATTTATTCATTCAGTATCTAAATATTTATTGATTACTTATACATCACAAACTAATCTTTTTTAAAAGAATTATTATTTTTTTAAAGAATTATTATTAATTTTATTTAACTTTATTTATTCATCCATTTTCATTTGACCAGAGAAAGAGAGGGAAAGTGAGACAGCAAGCCGCCAGGTCCAGGACTCAAACCACGGTTGGCTACGTGGGAGTCCAACGCCCTTAACCACCCTGTCACCTGCCGATCCCCCACAAACTAACCTTAATCTGGGATTCCTCTGGCCCCATATCACTACTGTTCTTTAGGGTACAAAAGGTAGTTTCTCAAAGGTTAATAAAATCTGCAACTTTGCTTAAATCTTTGGAAGTTTTCTTGACCGCTGTTTCTCCAAAAGTTGCGTATTCTCATTTCTGCATGCCAGTAGCAGAGAGTTAAGTAACTTACACTGTTTACTTGTAGAAGTACTAACCTGGAGTTCCTCGTTGCCTAACTAGAGACTTCTGACTTCCCTGGATGATGGCATCTCTCGGTAACTTTTTATAAGCCCCCAGGCCAGAAGAAGTAGTAGCAGTTGTGTTTCTTTGTATTTGTGCCCTAACAACCTGCTAGCCATTTGGAAACTAATGCGCATAAAATTTAAAAATATATATTCTTCAATAACCATAATTACTAATGAGGTGTGCGTACTGCAGGAAACTGCATAATGACTCAAACGCTAGAAGCAGATTGGACACTGCCTCCCTAATAGCCTGTTCTGCACGGTACTTGTTTTTTATTGCAGCAGTTGCCAAAAATTCAGTTTCACAAAGATAGGATGTGACTGCAAAGGATGTAACATAGCCCATTGTCTAGCCTATGAGCTGTCACACACCAGCATTCAACAAGTTAACTATTGCTGTGTTTCCCTAGGAAAATGGGGTGCCCCTGCAAGTTTGCTGTGGCATCCTGGGCACCCCGGTGCAGTTTGGGGACCATAGGTCCAAATGTTTCATACCTTTGGAAAGTTTCCCAAAAGCTCTTTTAATTGCTTCATGTCTCTTCGAGGAGAGCAACCTTTTTATGTGTTTGTTTGCTGGCTCACAGATTACTTAGTACAACTAAACTTTAAACTTAGTCATAGAGACCTCATCTGTCACAATGAATGACTGTGACAATGGAATGAACTGATGTTCCACTCTTAGCATAGCATGTGATATGCAGTAAGTGATGATATAGTCACTATTCACACTGTTCTTACCGCTATTAACAACATGACATTGGGGCTGGCAGGTGGCGTGGTAGTTAAGGGCACTGGACTCCCACATAGCTGACCGTGGTTTGAGTCCTTGACCTGGCAGCTTGCTTTCTCATCTTCTCTCTCTCTCTCTCACCCTCACTTTGTCCCTCTCTGGTCAAATTAAAATAAATAAAGATAAATTTAAAAAAAAAAAAAAAGGACACGACACTAAGAGTATGGCTAAATTGCATGATCTGCTCTCAGATTTGGAGGTTTCTCTGAGATCACTAAGATTTTTTTTAAGAATTATTTTATTTAGCTTTATTTACTTATATGTTTTATTTTGGACAGAGTGAGAGAGAGAGAAAGTAAGAAGCAAGCCTCCAGGTCTGAGACTTGAACCACAGTCAGCCATGTAGGAGTCCAGCATCCTTAACCACCATGCCACCTGCCAGCACTGAGATTTTTTTTTTTTTAAAGGAAGATTTTTGCTATAGACCACATGTACTCGCCATAGAGAAATAGACAGAAAGCAAGAAATCACCCCCCAGGGGGGATGGCCACACCACAATCCCTTCTCCTCTAGGGATTTGGGCCACATACTCACATGTGCCTGGCATGAGTTTTAAACCATAAGGCCCAGGACTCAAACTGTAGTCAACTACGTGAGAGTCCAGTGACATAACTCTTACGCTATCTGTTAGTCCCAGAGATTGCTAAGGTCTTACTTAAGCTTAGGGTGTGGGCTTCAGTGAATGGATTTAAGTGAACCCTGGCTATTCATTAAATCAGAAAATAGTCACTTATAGTGCTGATTAACAGGCATGACTGACTTGGCAAATGTCTTCGGTTCTACTCTCTTGGAGATGTTTGCACAGCTAAGATCCAATCGGGCCTGTGACCTCTTTGGTATTTCAGGGTTCATTGCTAATCAGTCTTACCCCAGTTAGCTTGCTCTCATTGGTTTATATGTAGTTAATGTCCAAACCTCTATGGAAGATGTTAATCTGAACTAGTCATTTCATTACCATTTCTTTTTTTCTTTTCTTTTTTTTCTTTGAATCCAGAGCGTGAACCGGTTGGCAATGGAAACAAGAAAAGTAATGAAAGGAAATCATTCCCGAAAGACAGCTGCATTTGTCCGGGTATGTTCCAAAGATAAGGACTCCCAGACTTTGGATTTCAGTGGGTTGTTTAGTTTGCAGGTTACTAAATTGCTGTTTTCAGAAAAAGATGAATGTATCCTGATAAGGGCAGTTTAGTGTTTATTTTTCAGATTAATTTTTTTCCTGGATTGGTCAATTTTCTTTATAGCTTCAGAAGAAAGATCAAAGGCCTTTCTATTTGGGGGAGCTGCTGGAGAGATGGATTTGCATCTCTGTGCATCGGCTCAGTTGCCTCTGATTTCCCCTAATATAGTAACACAATATGTTATAAAATGCTTCTTTAATGATAATGATATATTATACGGAATGGCATTGTGCCTGTAACTGGAAGACTGAACGCCTTTTTTCCCATCTCCATAAGAGTTATGCTCAAGTTAAAGTTAACCTTTATCAAAGCAATACATGTTCATATTTTTAAAAATGCAGTCATCCTGATGGCCAGATGATGCGGCTGTAATCCATGTTTTTAAAAATGAAATCATCCTGATGGCCAGATGATGCGGCTGTAAAATACCATGCTCTTCAAGGCTCACCCACGCCAGAAGGTTCCAGACTCAGGTCTAGACACCTCCCAGAGTACACTCAGCATGCGTACACCTGTGATCCAGGGCTGGCTGAGGCTGGGAGTGGGTCCTTACTGGGGATGCCTGACTCTCTGGTTCTTACAGAAAAAAAAGATAAATAAGCTTTAAAAAATTAAGCCGTGTTGAAACAGTACAATGGAGTATTAGGCATTCCAGGAATACCTTTTCTCACTTCTTTTTTTTTTATTTTTTATTGAGAGGTTTTTGCTATAGGGCGTGTGCACTCGCCAGACAGACAGAGAGAGACAGAGAGACAGAAAGCGAGAAATCACCCCCCAGGGGGGTAGTCACGCCGCAATCCCTTCTCCTCCATTCTCCTCTCGGGATCTTGGGCATGCACGCACACGTGCCCCACGTGAGTTTTAAGCCACCTGGTCTGGGACGCGAACCGCGGTCGACTACATGGGAGTCCAGCGACATAGCCATTACGCCAACTGCTGGTTCCCACCTTTTCTCACTTCTTACCTATTTCCTCAGAGTTAGCCACCCTCCAGACTTTCTGGTAACTTCGTTTTCTGGTTACCTCCATAGTTTTATTTAGTTTGAATGGTTGTTTCTTAGTTATCCATATTAGATGTTACCTGTTTCCTTCCTGTGATGATGGACAAGGATTTATTTTTCACATACCACATGCCTCTCACTTTTCCCTCTCAGTCCTCTCAAAAAATCATCAGGTATAGGAAAGGCTAGAGGAAAAATCCGGGACTCAAATGAGGGGATCGTTTTAAAGGTTTTTGCTAGAAAATACACGATGAGAGAAAATTACCAATGTGACCGGCTGCACCTCTCCCCTTCTTTCCAGGCCTGTGTTGCCTACTGCTTCATCACCATTCCTTCGCTGGTGGGAATCTTCACGCGTCTCAATCTCTACCTGCATTCTGGTCAGGTGGCCTTGGCCAACCAGTGCCTCTCCCAAGGTGAGCCCATCTTTTTCTCATCTCAAGCACTCCCTGCTGCTTAGGAAAGCCGACTTAGCCGTGTGTGTGTGTGTGTGTGTGTGTGTGTGTGTGTGTGTATGGAGGGAAATTCCACAAAGGGGAGAGAAAAGAAGTGATCAATAAAAATGATGACTTTTAAATCTGTTTCTCTAGTCAGAAGCACATTGGGGGACCAGCAGTTAGCATAATGGCTATGTCGCTGGACTCCCACATAGTCGACCGTGGTTTGCATCCCAGACCTGGTGGCTTAAACTCACACCGGGTGCATGTGCGTGCATGCCCAAGATCTCGAGTGGAGAATGGAGGAGAAGGGATTGCGGTGTGGCCATCCCCCCTGGGGAGTGATTTCTCGCTTTCTATCTCTCTGTCTCTTTGTCTGCCTGGCGAGCGCACGTGCCCTATAGCTAAAAACAAACAAACAAACAAAGAAGTACATTGGACACATTTATAAAATAGACAGATTATAGCACAAGGAAATTTTCCTCTAAGAACCTTCTTTTTTTTTTTTTTGAGAGAGAGAGAGAGAGGTTTTTGCTATAGGGCATGTGAACTTGCCAGAGAGAGACAGAGAGACAGAAAGCAAGAAATCATCCCCCAGGAGGGATGGCCATGCTACAATCCCTTCTCCTCCTAGGATCTTGGGCACACACGCACATGCGCCCAGCGTGAGTTTAAGCCACTGGGTCTGGAACTCAAACCACGTTGACTACGTGGGAATCCAGCAACATAGCCATTACTCTAACATCTGGTCTCCAGAACCTTCTTATATCTATTCCAGACAGGCCAAATCAGGCAGCTCTGACATCCTGAGCTAAGGACACCTAGTTCGAGAAGTTAGGATTGCTTAACCACAGCAGATTTGTTTTCGATTTTTGTTACTGTTGATGTTTGTTTATGTGCTTGAAACTAGTGTAGAGATACACTAGTAGACTGCTTGCTATTATGGCTAAACGTTCTGCTCAAGACTGATCTTCGTGTACTAGGCACAAAGCCATCCCTGAGGCAGGGCTGTGTGGGAATGGTTTCCTTGGGAGCTGATCCCAGTGAGTATCAGAAGGGTGACCGGGGTGAGACGGAAGGGAAAGAAGCTGGAAAGCATGCACTTGGGAGCAGGTTGCTACTGTGGGCAGCTGCAGTTCACTCTCATCTGGGAGAGGGTGTCTAACATGCTCAGTGTGGCCTACCCGAGAGACAAGGAAGGTGTATTCTTTCCTGCCTGTCATGGGCTAAACGCTGCCTCTGGGAGATTGACTCCCTGGCACTCTGGCCTGCTCTAAGTCACACTTGAGCTAAGAGAATGTCTCCAGGAAGAGAGTGGCAAGTGTTTGTTGCAGGATGCCAACTACAGAGGTCCTGGTCACCAACTACAGAGTGGCCTGCAGGCCCAGTCCCAGCAAGATATCTTATCTATTGGGTCATCAGGAAAGTTACGACATATTTTTTTTTTGCATAGAAAAACATGTCGTAACTTTCCCGATGACTCAACAGCAGGCCCTAGCACAGAGAGTAGAAGAAATCCCAGTGACATTTATGGAGCATGTGTTAGGTGGCCAGTCCTCTGTACACAGGATCTCATCTCATTCTTCCAGCAATCACATGAGGCCAGTCCTGTGTTTGGTGCCTCATTTCCCAAGTAAGAAAATGGAGCAGGAAGTGGCCACGTAGCTTGCCTAGGGTTGCTCCACTTGCGAGTCACTGCACGAGCTCCCCTGACCTAAGAGAATGGCTGTTGGGAAACTTCAATGAATCCTGGGAGTTTTCTATAGCACCAATGAAGTGGACTGATGTTTTCGCAGGTGGTTTTCTTGACCCCACCTCATGGATTATGCCACGGTTAGTGGTTTACCCCCTATTACCCTGACTTGGATGAGCAAGCTGGGCCATTTGGAGAGTGGTCACTCACTCCCTTGTTCTTTTCTCTTTATCTCTCTCCACCCTTTTTTTTTAAATTGCCAGAGGCACATGCACTTGCAGAGAGAGAAAGGGAGAAAGCACCCCCGCTGAAGTGTGGTCGTTCTGCAGTCCCTTCTTATCCAGTTCACCCTCCTGTTGCCATTTGGTGCATACACACCTTGTGTGTTTTCCACGCCACCAAGGGCTGGCATTTGAACCATGTTCGCCATATGAGATCCTGCTCCCGTAACCACCAGGCTATAAGGTCAGCCCTTCCCTTGCTCTTCTGAACCTTGGTGTGGCGGTTCATCTGTATCTTGATTCATCTGGGACATCTGCACACTGAAGTCTTCACATGTGGTTGCTGTCCAAGAACCTTTTCAAATTCGTCTTGGTTTTGCTTTCAGCTCCTACGGGCTCCTGTAGTTTTTTTTCACTCCATTCTGTAATCTGGATATGGGAGCCTGTATGATGTGGCGCCTGTTTTTCGCTCCTTTGACCATACTAAGCTGTCTTAGTACAAGCGCAGAGCCTCTGTGCTTGCTGTCCTCTCTTTCTAATTGAGCTTTGTCTGGGTATTTGCTTTTTTTGTTTGTGATTGCAAGGCAGATGATGAGAATCAAGTCTTTTGTTTTTTGTTTTTTGTTTTTTTTTTTGAAAGATTTTCGCTATAGGGCGTGTGCGTTCGCCAGACAGAGAGAGACATAGAGACAGAAAGTGAGAAATCACCCCCCGGGGGGATGGTCACGCCACAATACCTTCTCCTCCATTCTCCTCTCGGGATCTTGAGCATGCACGCACACGAGCCCGGCGTGAGTTTTAAGCCACCGGGTCCGGGATGCGAACCACGGTTGACCACGTGGGAGTCCAGTGACATAGCCATTATGCTAACTGCTGGTTCCCGAGAATCAAGTCTTTAGGGCAGGCTTTCCCGACTACTCTGACTAAAGAGACTGACCCTCCCCAGTCTCTCACCTCCTTTGCCATTATCCCTACTGTTGTCATTACTCAGACCATGGACTGAGACTTTACTGCGTGAATTTGTATATGTGCTGTCTGGACACCCCCTCTCCCCACTAGGACAGGCGCCTGTCCTTGGTGTATTGGTAAATGTGGAATTTTCTCCTAATGCCTACTTTGGTAAGAGTGATGGTTTAGGGGTTGGCCGGAGGCATGGTGGTTCAAGGCGCTGGATTCTCACACGGCCAACCATGATTTGAGTCTTTGAGTCCTGGACCTGGTGGCTTACTTTCTCTCTCTCTCTCTCACTCACTCACTCACTCTCACTCTGTCCCTCTCTGGGGACAAATAAACAAATGAACAAATAAATAAATAAAGTTAATAAAAATAATTCTTTAAAAAAAAAGAGTGATAGTTTAACAAGAAACAAAAAAGCTAAGTTAACAGCCATCACCACCTGATGATGTGCAAAATGAAAATTAGAGCACACTTACTTAGATATTAGAAAGTTTGAGTCCTCTCATAAACTGATTCCCTCTTAAAAAGGGTAGGAATGTTAGACCCAGGTGGGAACATCTGAGTTTGGTTTCACCTGCAAAACGAGGGACGGGTTGTGAGCAGCGAGCGGATACCATAGCTATGAATTGCAAGTGGACGCTCTGGAAGCCTCTATCTTTCTTCTACCCACTTTATAAAATCAAGACCAAGATTTTGAAAGTTGTAGATTTTAGGCAAATCCGTGACTGGGTTCTTTATAGGGCTTCATGCTATTATTTTTTTAAAAGCAAAATAGTAATTTCCAAGCTAACTAAAGGCTCTCCCCTCAGCAAAGATTTGCTCTCCCAAAAACTACGAGGAGAGCTGCGAGTGGTTTTCTCCCTGTTGTCCTGTCCTGTGCCATCCTGTCCTTGGTGCTCACCAAGGGACAGCATGTGAGACTAGCCCTGTACACTGGGCATGGATAAAGACAGCACCCTCCTGGGCCACCTCACCCCTCACTTGAAGCTGCTGTAGGGGAGTGGGAGTGTGGTGTCTACTTCGTGTTTAATAATTTATCTGATGATTTTTACTTGAGTCTCTAAATGCTGTGACATTCAACCTTAAAAGCCTATTATTGTTGTTTCTGAAAGCCACACACAGCAATTGCTGGCCCAAATAAATAATGCATTCAATTACAGAGAATGGGAAGGCTAAATATAAATTAAATGAAGCTTATGGAAATGGGCCACTTTGTTGGCCTCCCTAAGCCTCCTCCCTTTTCAGCTGGTTGTAAAACATCCCCTCCTCTCTGTTCACTTTCTTGCCTCTCTTAATCCAGCCTTGGTACTATCTCCTTTATCAGGCTGTTTCTTTGTCAGGGCTGAGTCCAGACCAACACGTAATAAACTCCTGTTGATCCCTCAGGCTGGCCTGTCTGGTGCTGACGCAGGAGTACTGACTGCATTCGGGGCCCAGTTCTGTTCCTTTGTAAACCCTAGTGCTGTGCTGCTCATAGACCGGACTGTGTGGGGATTTGGCGCACATACTCTAGCCCATCACTCTCGGAGTAATTAAGGGCAACAAAGGACTTGCAAATCAGTATCTGGTCATATGCTTCTCAT